AATATGTGTCAAATCCATGAAGATGCACATGCCTTTCAGCAGCTTGGTATGTCTGCTTTCTTTGCTTCATTAAGGTTTTCCAGGCCTTGTATTCCTCTTCCAGCTCTTTTGTTTTCTGCTTGTAAGCCACAATTCTTTTGTGAAGACTGAAAATAGAAAAAGAAAGAGAAAATAGGAAAAGATCAACATACATGTGAAATCCCATATAAAAGATATCAATTGCTCTTCCAACACCTAAGAACTCAAAGTTTATAAAAAGACACATTTCAAGCAATACAAAAACTCTCATGGTATAGGCCTACTTCTCTTTGTTGCCTTCTGTTGTCGGGGGGGACGGGGAAGGACCTTCAGCAATTAACGGCTGGCCAGCCACCATGTAGGACACCTGCCCTGCAATGTCCTCTGACTGGGTTATGAGGTCCAACCGTAGATCAGAAACACACTCGTCTCCCTCTAGCTTCTGTTCCAAACGACGAAGTGCCTCCCTCGCACAAATGTCAATCAGGTGGCTCACCTTTGTGGTGTGTGGCAGGGCCTTTGCAATGTTGTCAATTTGGTCTAAGGAAAGGGACATGGGTGAAAAATTTTGGGCATTGTGAAAAGAGGAGAAAGCAGGAAAAAAAACAAACAAAAATTGAATTATATATGAAAACCAGTGACAATTTCACTAGGATAGACAGTAACTAGAAGTTTATAATTTATGGAGGATAGTCCACAGAAGTTATAATCATATTCCAATGAGAGTTCTTCCTCACTAATCATCAAATATTCTCGAAGAACATAAGTTATCCAAACCTACCATGCAATGACAGAACTTGAACTGCTGCACAGAGTGACCTCCGCCCTCCCATGCTCTGGATCGACTTCCTGCCTCGGCCCAACGTCGATCTCCTTCTCTTGACCTTGTCCATCTCTGTCTGAAGCTCCTTCCTGACCTCAGGAACCGAGCTCTCCAATGACCCGCTGAGATCCGATGCCCCTTGCCCAGTCTCATCCGCGGACCCTGAAGTGCTCAGGCTCGTCTCTTTCGGCGCCGTCCTTAGAACATCTACTGTCAGTTTTGTTCCCTCCTCTGAACCCTCACAAGAGGTTGCCAGGCCTTTCCCCAGCATCTCTGCCTCTTTACTGCTGCTCTTCTCCTTGGCTTTTGCTTGTCTTTCATTCTCTAAAGCCTGGACAATCATGCTCCTGGAGGATGGCACAGGAATCTTCGACTGGGTCTTGCTGTCGTCCCTCGCGGTGCTTCTGGCTCTCCGTGGTGTGCTGATGCTTTCTTTCTGTGACGAAACAGGAGTCTGACTTCTACTCCTTCTCCTTGTGTTGGGTGTGGATTTGGCTGCCAATTCGCCCTCTGTTGATGAGGGAGTCTTACTTCTACTCCTGGGCATGGGCGTTGGTGAAGCACTGCCTTCCTGCTTCTCAAATGCAAGTGCTTTGGCCCGGCTTCTCAGTGTGGGTGTGGGTTGGAGGTGTGGGGTGTCCTCTTCCTCCGATAAACGGCTTTTACTTTTGTTTCTCGATATCGGTGTGAGATTTGCAGAGGCAGCACTTCTCTTTTGAGATGCTGGGCTCCTGCTCCTTTGGGTTGGCGTGCCGTTTCCTTGGGCCTTGTCATTTTTCTCTGGCAGTGGTGTGTGGTTTCTGGTTCTTGGTGTGTTTGCTTTCTCATTATCTTCTTTCTCCACAGCAGGATGTTTTCCCCTTGATCTCTGGGGTGTCGTTATGGCTTTAGGAGGGGAGGCATCCTGATTCTCGGCCTGGTCGTCATGGCGCCTCTTCTCCGACCGTGCTGTGGCTGTGTCACCCAACATGTTCCTAATTCAATGTGATCACTAAACTGGTCCTGGAGTTCACTTGTTGTACATGCTTTCCCTCAGCACTATCTTGGCCTGCTGAATAACAAGGGGTTTAATACAGTCCATTGTGTATAATGTTCAATAGCATTTATCAGCTCTATACAATACGATTTTGAGTTTTCTTTTTCTCCAGTAGAGGTTTCAAAAAGATAAACCTTTTAAAATTTAATCATTTATTGTTAAAACTGGTCAACTTCTATATCGATACTAGATTGATGCTCATGTCAGTAAATATGCCTTGGCTTATATTCTCTTAATTTCAGAGCTGAAACAAATTTGACATTGAATCTAGTTTCTAAATTATTCACCACAGCTTACTCTTGTATCATAGTGCAAATGCTATTAAATTTGTGGTTCCTAAATGGGGAACTGGTATATACAGTCATTGCTCAGAATAAAGGTGCAACACTGACATAATGTGGCAATTGGCAAGGTGTACGTTATGCTCATTTCTCATTTGGCAAGAAATTGTCGGGAAGGTCAACAGCCGCTAACCATAATGCAGATGGTAGAAATTTGACAAAATTAGATACATATGCATAGATTCACTGACCCTTTTAAGTAATTATGGCTCTATTTCCAACAGTTACAAGGTATATATTCAGTTAAATAAATTAGAAATATAAATATTAAATAACAAAATACATAAAATTACTCTCTTATATTAATTATAAGAACATAACTTGTTATTTCCGGAGTTGTAAGTAGTAACACTAGTAAAATCAACTGTTGCATCTCATTCCCTAATAAAAAAATATATCAAACGAATACACACAAAATGAATTCATATAAAACAATACCATAACTTGACCTCAACTTTGACATTTATTTCTCATTTTTAACACAGAATAATCAAATTCTAAGTAAAACAAATTAATACACTACAGCCCTTGTAACAAAAGGATAAAAAAGGGAATGGACGAAACACAAAATTTTGGTTAAGATTTAAAAAAAATACTTTAAAGGCACTGAAACATTCACTTTAATACAAAAATCCCCAAATAAACAGTGGGAAGGCCATACCTTCCCTACATACTTCAAAAAAAGGCAATTAATCTCTTATTCCAAAACAAAAACAAAAATCGGGAACCTCTTGAAGACGCCGCCCCCCCAAAATCCACAAACCTCAACATTTCTCCCTTTAACTAAACCCCAAATCAAAATCCAAAGCACCTCGTGCACACCCCCACCCCCACCCGACGCGATTTCCGCCACCCCCACCCTCCTTCAGTCAAATTAACTTTATTTGACCTTCCGCGACGCAGCTGGGCGAGCGACGGATTTGAACTGGAAATAAGGCGACGACCGAGGCGGTGGTTCCTTCCGGGCGAGGGAGCACGAGTGTAAATTGCTTTGGTGGTATTCACGGGTTACTTTAATGTTTTATTTTGAATGCTATTATTAAATATTGTATGCACATTTCTTTGCGTGTGTTTTTTCGCTTTACTGTATATCATTTCTGTATGTTGTGAGCATTTTGGCATTTATATTATATCGTATATTAGATGTATCTTATTACAAATGTTTCATCTTATTATATACCATTATTGATATATATATATATATATATATATATATATATATATATATATATATATATATAGAGAGAGAGAGAGAGAGAGAGAGAGAGAGAGAGAGAGAGAGAGAGAGAGAGAGAGAGAGAGAGAGAGAGAGAGAGAGAGAGAGAGAGAGAGAGAGGGAGAGAGAGAGAGAGAGAGAGAGAGTGTTACTTAGCTGTCTTTTGAGTGCTGCTATACCACTTCTTACCATCCTTGAGTAAATATGGCAACAAGTGGAATATAACAAAATATACTCGCGTGTAGGCCACTGGATAACAGATTTTTATTCCACTCTCTCCAGAGCGGGTTCAGTGTTTGTTATAAGAATAATACGTCCAGTTTTACGTGTGACTTTTCTTCTTGTAAACTTCACTTATTTCAGTATTATATCAATTGGTGATTATAAACACATGAATTCTCCCCTTGGAGAGTACGAAGAGATGCAGACCCATGTCTCATCTACTTCGTATAGTCACACGGAATTCAGTACTGTTATAACCGAAATTAGGAATATCTACCCAAGATAAATCCCCACGAACACCCATGTTCGACGACAGTTAGTATTGACCTGCGGCACAAGTGCCACATAAGCGCTTGGGCCTCTCCTGACCGTGCCGACCCAGCACAGTGGTGCCCTTGTTTACAATGCCTATAGAGGATCACCCTTATGTCCCCGAGACCAGGTGTCTATAGTGCCATGTAAAACACTAAAGGCTTATCCCTCCATAGGATAAACACCACACTTTGTAGCTTCAATGGAATTTGGAGTTCCCCTGAACTACCATTCCCTCTACCATACAACCATTGGAAAACTCCAAATTCGTGGTATATAATGGTCTTACAGGTCAGAAATGCCGATAGATTACCATGCCAATGCTACTTCAATAAGTCTGGCCGTTGACAGACGGACTCAAACACATTCATTATATAGATACATATGTATGCACACACACACACACACACACACACACACACACACATATGTGTGTCTTCCTACACAATCTCCATCAACTCGTTAGTGATAGATTTACGGGCAGCATGGCGATCAGAGACGCTCCGCGAAAGGAACTGAAGAACATTACAAACTCATCTCATTCAGAGCGAACGCCGACGGAAGTGCAACGCCGCACACACTCTTCGCTTCTAGCCACGAGGGCCCCTCTTGACTAGCTGTCAGGAAGGTCTTGGATTGCGCAGGTAGCAGGTCCTATGCCGGTCTCACAGTCTAGCCGTTGGGTGGACACAAGGTCCTGTTAACTGTACCCCATGACCCGGCGCAAAGACCTGTTATGAAAGGCATCAAGGGGGGACTCCAAGGCACTAGATAGCATCCAGGTTTCACTTCCATAAAGCAAAACTGGCAATATCAGGGCCTGGAAGACATGTAGCATGAGCCTTCTGCACAGGTACCAGCATCTCCAAATACTCTTATTAACTGCGTTTACGGCTCCTGCTGCCGGGTGCAGTCCGTCTACTGACTTCCTGGTCTGAGAGCCCAGAGGACTATGCCATCAAGGCATTTAAAGCTCTCTGTGACTTCAGTGTTCTCGCCATAAGCATAAATCGGATTAACAGGTTCTCTTAG